TTTAGAAATATTTCAAATATCTCGCTGCATCAACAACATTTACTAATGTCATCGATGTATCAATAATGTATAGGTTCAAATTCGGTAAAATGCATTGTTGACCAAAAAAATGATAGTCCGATTTGCTTCAATGTCTCACATAAATGAAAGAGTAAGAAAATGTTGTTGGGAAACAAATCATCATATATATCATTAGTAAAATTCAGTAGTAATAATAAATGTATAATAAAAAAGAGATTCTTTTTGTATTTCTGTCATCAGAATTAAGGAATTATTATCTTCATAAAACATGCTGACATTCATCCTGTGTGTACTCACTACTCACATGCATTTTTGGCATCCTTCGACAACAAATACTAAACGTCTAAGAATAGTTAAAAAACCACTTAGTACATATATGCTACTGACACGAGCTTAGAAGCACTATTAATTGAATTGTCTATAAAAAAAAAACATCATAGAATCTTAACTTAAGGTTAGATATGGGTAGAAAAAAATTATTGGTATTAGCATTATTTTCCATTTATATCTTATCAACAGAAGCTGCCAATGGATCATTTCCCGCGATTTTGGCTTTTGGAGATTCAATACTCGATACCGGTAACAACAATTACCTCCTGACTCTAATGAAAGGAAATTACTGGCCATATGGGAGGAGTTTCAACATGAGAAGGGCCACGGGAAGATTTGGAAATGGAAGAGTGTTCTCCGATATAGTTGGTATAATATCACAGTCTATTACAATGCTTCTTTGTAATTATTGATTTTTTATCATATTGTTTAGATAATCAATCATATGGTATGATAATATATTCTCATATAGTCTTTTTTGTTTATAATTATTATTTGCAGCCGAAGGTTTAGGGATAAAAAAAACTCTACCAGCTTATCGTAAGTTGTTCACTCCTCCAAACGACCTTAAAACCGGTGTTTGTTTCGCATCCGGTGGTGCAGGAGTAGACCCTGTTACATCTAGAATGCTGGTGAACAAAATAAATAATGAACTTATATCGTTTAAGTTTCAAAAAAAAAAAAAACTTATATCGAAATGTTATATATTTCTTATCTAAAATATAGTTTCTTTAATAATTATTGTAACTTATTTTTGGGTGGTGGTTTGGTCAGAGAGTTTTATCCCCGGGCGACCAAGTAAAAGATCTCAAAGGCTACATAAGGAAGCTAAAGGGAATCGCTGGTCCATCAAAAGCAAAGGATATAATTGCAAACGCTGTTTTTCTTATTTCTGAAGGAAATAATGATATTGGAATCACATTTTTTGGGACTCCATCAGCAATGTTTAGAGGAATGAATCGGAAAAGATATACCACTAAACTAGTTGGTTGGAACAAACAATTTATGAAAGTAAGACAAAAGAATGAAGCAAGAAATATTCATCAAGCATCGATATATAGTAGTATGAATTGTTTATATATATTCATTCACATTCTTTTGGTTTATGTCTATATATGTATGAAGGAATTATATGATCAAGGAGCGAGAAAATTCGCGGTGATGGGAGTGATACCATTGGGATGTTTGCCTATGTCAAGAATCTTCCTTGGTGGGTTCGTCATCTGGTGTAACTTACCCGCGAATATAGTATCGCAAGATTACAACAGAAAATTGCAAACCGGGTTGAAAAGTTGGTCAGGAGAATCGGGTTTTAGGGGTGCAAAGTTTGTCTATGTCGACATGTACAACTCTCTTATGGATGTTATAAAAAATCATAGGAGATACGGTACGTAAATACACACCATCATTTATATATAGTAAGGCATTGCCATGTTCTACACATCACGCATTCTATCATATTTGAATCCTGATAGTAACACCGTGACAATACTAATACAAACCACTCATGTTATATGGTTGTAGGATTTACTAATGAGAAGAATGGGTGTTGTTGTATGCTTACGGCAATTGTACCATGCCCTAACCCAGATAGATACGTCTTCTATGACTTTGCTCATCCCTCCGAGAAAGCCTACAAGACAATTGCTAAAAAGCTTGTCGATGATATCAAGAGAGGTCTTGCTTGATTTCATACAAAGCTTTATAGTAATCTTTAATAACCACCATCATTAATATATATTTTATATTAGAAGACAAAATCATACATGATGATCTATTTCTATTTTTGTTATTATAAAGAATGTATAATCCAGTTCTGTATTGTTCATTTTAATTATATGATCCCAGAACAAAGGCGTTAGTATGTGCAAGAAAATAAATCAGAAAAAGGCTTATATCATTGTAAGGAATGAACTATTCAAATAGCAATTCCCCCAGCAAACTTATTCAAATCAGACTGCATAAGAAATATAACAAAATTAACATTCGGACTAAAGTGACATAAAAACCATGGTTTTTGAGAATTCTAGCTAATACTTAACGAAATCAAATAAACTCACATATATTTCAAACTCTTCTTCACTCGTGAGAATTTTCTTAATTTTTTTTCTTTTCTGAATATTTGTAGAATAGCAACATTACACAAAACGGACTAGACCATATTATTTTTAGGTCGGACAACAAGTCATTGTGAACCAAAACAAAATTCATAAAATATGTTCACTCGCCGGAGGTAAAACAGTTTTCTCTTAATAATGTCTTTAACATTATATGGTAGATATATATAGCTCATGGAAGGAGATGAGGCCGACAAATGGTTAAATCTTAAATTTTCAACCCAAATATATAGATCATTGCCGCTATAGAAAAATTAAAATTGTATATAATATTTTGTCAATCACATGTATTAAATTATTATAAGCATGGTACAACAAAGTATTCATCAAAACTTCTTGGGCATTAGGTGGTGTTTGCACTTTACCAATGTTACTTACAAAATATGCTTCTCAATTGGATATATAGAATGGTATAAAGACACATGCATGGCCATGGCCATGACCATGGTCTCCAAAATATTTATCTCATCATGGTAACAACTAAATAGCTTTGCAAAAATACAAGATTCACCAAAACATAATTGTAATAATTTTTTGCATACTTTTTAAATGAGAAACTTATAGAATTAAAACATGCGAACATTCATTCTATGTGTACTATACTCTCATGCATTTTGGCTTCCTTCGACAAACAAAAACCAGACGTCTTTTTCCCCTACGTACTTTGAACTAGACGTCTAAAAATAATTAGAGAACATCAATAGATTTCTTTATAATACATAAGAAACTTTAAAATCTGTCTCGAAACAGTGTGAGCTTAACTTCGATATGTTTAGGGAAAAAATATTGGTGTTAGCATTATTTTCTCTATTTTTCTTCTCAACAGAGGCCGGTAAAAATAAAACATTTTCTGCACTTTTCGCTTTTGGAGATTCAGTATTAGATACTGGTAACAACAATTTTCTCCTTACTCTACTAAAAGGAAATTACTGGCCATATGGTTGGAGTTTTGACTATAATGTACCGACCGGAAGATTCGGAAATGGAAGAGTTTTCACCGATATAATTGGTATAATGTCATATTCTCTTACAATGTTTTTTTCTTCTAATTCATGATTTTGTCACATTATTGATAGTAGGAATAGTATTCTCATGTGGTGAAGGCTTCTATTGTAGCACAAGGTTTGGAGATCAAAAGACTTGTACCACCTTACCGGAAGATTCGTCGCCTTAGAAACAATGACCTTAAAACTGGCGTTTGTTTCGCATCAGGTGGTTCAGGAATCGACGATCTTACATCCAAAACACTGGTGAACAAAATTATGAACTTCTTATAATTTTCCATTAACAAATATAATATATTGACCAACCTTTTCTAATAACTATTTTCATTTATTTTGTGGATTGTGGTGGGTTTCCGTCAGAGAGTTTTATCCGTAGGCGACCAAGTACAAGATTTCAAAGAGTATTTGACGAAACTAAAGAACGTAGCGAAAGATAAGAAGGAAGTGAAAGAGATAATTTCAAACGCAGTGTTTCTAATTTCTGAAGGAAATAACGATCTTGGATACTTCGCGGCTCCAGCTCTTGTACGATTATACTCCACAAACACATACACAAGTAAAATGGTTGGTTGGACCAAAATATTTCTACAAGTAAGAATTTTTTTTTTAATCAAGCACATTGATATGTTTTTTTTTTTTTTGAAAAATAGCAACGGTATGTTAGTATGAATTATATGATTCTTTTGGTGAATATGTATCTATCGTATGAAGGATTTATACGATCTCGGAGCGAGAAAATTCGCGGTGATGGGAGTGATGCCGATAGGATGTGTGCCTTTCCATCGAGCACTATTTGGTGGGGTATTCGGATGGTGTAACTTCTTCTTGAATAAAATTACGCAAGACTTCAACACTAAATTGCAGAAAGGTCTTCAAAGTTACGGAGTAGAAGATAATTTTAAAGGTGCAAAGTTTACTTACGTCGACATGTATGGCTCTTTAATGGATCTTATCAACCATCCTAAGGCATTTGGTACGTAAATAAGCATCCCAAAAACAAATGCCTGAAGTAACCAAGTGATTATGATTTAGTAGTTATTGCATTGTTGCTCCAAATCAGTGACTTGGATCTTACAAGCAGCGTCTTTATTTTTTAATTTCTGTTAAAGGATTGCGCATCAGACCTTTTAACAATACGTTTTTTAGGTTTTTTTATTAAACTTGTGAATGAATAATACAAAGTACAAACTCTTAGATCCCTTTATATAAGTCTTAAAATCCGATTCTACTAGAAAAACCTAAACATAAAATTTCTTTTTTCCTAATTGCACAGTATTTTTGTATAAGCATCCGGCCCGAGGCATTCCTATATATACTAAGAGCATGATTATAGGTGGGTAATAAGAGTAAATATAGGAGTTTTTAAAATATAAAATTATTAAAATTTGAGTAAAAGGATGAAAGAGAGTGTTTTTGTGGGGTGTATTGAAATATAAAATTAATAAAATTTGAGTAAAGAGAGGAGATAGTGGATATTTTTTGGAGAAAGGGTATGTATAAGTTGTATGGGAAGAAACTTTTGGAGAGGGGTTTTAGGAGTGTTTAAATATAAAATTAATAAAAGTTGAGTAAAAGGATGAAAGAGAAGGTATAAAGTTGAGTAAAAGGAAGAGAGAGTGTGTGTTTTAATAATTTTATATTTAAAAACTTGCTATATTTACTATGGATAATCATGCCCTAATTCTAATAGGACCTCTTCAAAATCACCAATATTTTTCAGTCACTTTGACAACATGGATCGACATGACAAAATATATTTCTTCTTTATTTATTTGTTTGTTGAAGTTTCTATTGACGTATAGCGGAAAAAGAATTTTGTAAACTCCAAATTTGATTACATTGTGATCCACAACATAGAAAAATAGACGTAACTAATTTTCTTTTGTGTCATATACTTTCTTTTCTTTATATTGTTTTTTAAATGTCGGTTTTAAGATCCAAATCCTAACACTCAATTCTTTTTTGTTATGACATAATGACAATCTATGTGTACATGTATTTGCAGGGTTTTCAGAAGAGAAAAGTGCGTGTTGTTGTATGCTATCGGCGATTATACCATGCCTTAACCCCGAGAAGTACGTCTTTTATGACTTCGCTCACCCCTCCCAGAAAGCTTATGAAGTAATATCTAAACCTCTTATCTATAATATTAGGAAAGGCCTTGCCTGATTAATTTCTAATTGTTTCTTACTATGTTTTGTTTTAATCTTAGTTACCACCATCATTAATTATATGTAATAGATGACAATTTAAGACATGACTATCTATTCGTATTTTCTTCTTATAAAGAATTAATGTATAATCCAATAATGATGTGTTGTCCATTTTATACAATCACTCAACAAAATCGTTTGTTAACAATTGTAAGTGTGGCCATTGTATCACAGTCTGAATTCAAATGCGATGGTATATGTGGGAGAATATTTGAGGACAGATTAAAAAAGCAACTCCTTTGGGGTGAAGTGAAATAAAAATCCATAAGTCTTTCGGCCTAAAGGAAACATGAACTATATATTGTAATTAAGGACCATTAGCTCGACTAGAAAAATATCAAATGCGAAGTCTAGAAATCACATGACCGAATGACATCTGAGAGAAGACCATATTACATGTTCTCCGACGTAAACTATGGTGTACAAAGTACAGTCCAAAATCCTCTTCATAGAAAAATATAGTATTGTACGAAATGAAGTAAACATGATAATACACTTTTAACACAAGAACTTCAAGTAACGTGAAAATGTTTTTTTAATATTCGAAACAAATAATTAAGAATTACAAAATTATATAAAGTTATACATTTTTGTAAGGTTAAATGCATTAAGGAAAAAAAACCTATAAATGTTTTACTGAGAAAAGTCTTTGATTCGTTGACGTAAATACTACGAAAGAGGTGGTCAAGCACTACCAAAGGTTTTTGGGCAAAAATAACGATTACAAAATAAATTAGTGGTATTTATGCAAATTTCCCAAACAAAAGTAACATTATATAGAAAAAGGAAACATATAATAAAAAAAAGTTAGATTTAGTTATAAGAAATATGTAAACATTGAGATAAAAAAAACGTAAACTGAATATTTTTCTTTCATTATAATTAGCAAATTTCTTTTTTTTAAGTAAATTTTTGCATTTTCTTAAATTAATTTCTGGTGCATATTTTCCTTATTGTTGAAAATGTATATCCCTCAACATCTAGAGAGTCGTATAATGAACAACAACATACAAAATGGTGTTCGATTAATATTGCAAGTTTGTTAATATATAGTCATGCCTAAGAAACCTCCTTCAAATCTGTAGTCTATGTTTTATTTTGTTCTTCACACAAATTGCATTGTTTGAAACTTTGAATATTTTTAAAACTACTC